TATATTCATTGCCTGCGCTCCCTCTCTGTCCTCCCGCCACCACCGCCGCCGCCGTTGTAGTGTATATATAACTTTGTTGTGTATTATGTTTGTCGACGGACTGTGAATAAATAAAGAACAAGTTTTTAGAGTTTCTGCGGTGATGGCACGACGGGAAAAACGGGAGTTCGCATTATATACGTGTTTTTATTGTATTTTCATAATACACCACCAGCAGCCACGACCAAGTATACTTTACTAGCGGTAAAGATAAATACAAAAGTATTGCAGTTTATATTATAAAATAATAATAATATTCCTATATCACACACGGAATTGGAACTTTTTCATCCGTGTGTAAAATCCCGTAACGAGTCCAAAATTATCAATAATTTGACTTGATATTTGTCTTTGGAACAAAGACCACCGCGGGCAGCGTTTTAATTTCATAAGTCAGTGACGCTTAACCAACCATCATCATTAATCGTACTTGCAAAGGAGAGGGGGATTCGCGAGAATAAACATTTGAATACGTCTGATTACATAGCATTATAATTTGCTTCATTTTTGTTTATTTAATTTGATCTTCCTAATAACCCACTTTGATTTTAATACCACCTCAAAGTTGATCTTACGAAAAAAATCAGATTTATGATGGCACTCGATGTTTTTGAAATAAATTCTGTGATTTAGATTTTATTACATAGGTACCTTGTCTATTAATAACCTTAAAACAAGTGCTGCTTAATATTGTTCGTGTACCTACGTTGAACCAATTTCACGAATATTTGTTTTAAATATTTGCAAAACGAATGAAACGTTTAGAAGAAAGTTAAATAGTGTTTTTCTGATTATAATTTTCGTATTCTACATCCAAACAATCGTATCTACTTAACGTGACGACGACTTTATTTTCAACACTATACTATGTTGTTGTACACGCGATAATTCTGACCATAAAATTAATATTTTATTTTATTGCCCATTGGGACAATATTCATATCTATTCAAAGTTAGACTTAACAGCAGTCTTCACACCGTCTCACACGCTTGCAACAGAATTAAGGAAAAGTTTACGCCGCCAGTTATACATTGTTAAGTTGTATCTATATTTTCGTCATGGTTGCAACTCTCGTCCCGCAGTTGCCAACTGATTATCATGGAATGGCCATCGTTTACTATGTACTTTTAGCAGTTAATAATTTATTATATTCGTAAATAGGTTCAAGGTAAATTTTAATTCGGTTATTTGTAGATCACTCTCTATGCGCAGTATTCGTACAATACGACGGGCGTATTTTTACAATAGAATTTAAACAGTGTCATTTAACCAGGATTTTTATATTTTTACCGGTACGGACCAATTATTAAATCATATAGTATTTATTCGTCCGTATGTTTGACCTTTATGAAGGTAAGTATTCGATTGTGTTTTAATCTTTTCACCCATTTCCATCTTCAAAATATTAAACAATGTTTACACAACATAAGCATATGTAATATGAATTGTTTACATCATTATTTAAAAACAACGTATGAAAAATAAAGAGTGACTTTATAAACCAAATACATATAATTTGTAATGAAAAAATAAATGGTATTTTTATCTGGCATTCGTCAATTGCGCCGAATTTGGGACACTACCTGTATAGTATACATCAATTGCGCCGGTTAAAAAGGTATACATCTATTGTGCCGGTATAACAACTATACAGGACAAGTAAAAATTATAATGGCTAAAAACAAAAATTAAAATCAAACTTATCATTCTATATACTTGGTATTATTTACTCTATAGTAGATTATATATATACTTACACTAATCCTACAAATTTTGAAAAGCTCTTAGGTCTAATATTAAAATTAGTTATGTCTATTTTACTATTTATTTTTTATTTTTTTGTCATAAATGTAGAGTTTGGTCTATTTGCGATAACTTAGTGAACACGTATTATGATTGTTGCGTTACTTTATTCTTAAAACTTCATAAAAAACAAAAGTATTTGGATGGGGTAAATAAAAATATTTCCCAAACGCTGAGCGAAATGTCTCACAGGCATTTGTTGTTCTTTTGTCTGATATGTTACACGATGACCAATGATACGGGGGGAAAAGTTGCATTTTCATCAGTATATGTATCAATGAGGTGATCACAAAATGTATTAACTCGAATATCGATCAGCGCAATAGATAATACCTATAAATTATACCCTTTTTATAGCAGCCCAATGGATGTATAACTTTTTTCCATCCCATAATTTTTCTTTCTTTACCTGCGATTTTCGGTGCAATTGATAAAAAACTTTTTTATCAACTCCCATGGGTGGTGAATTTTATATTGGTTTATAGTAACAATTATGAAATTAAATTAGGAAATTTATTGACAGATAAAATTTGATAGATACATAATATTACACTTCAATGTTCAATGAAAGTTAATATGTTTCATTTTATTATTAATTTTTTATACTCGAATAGTTTTTCTTTGATTATCTATACAACAAATTTGTAGGTTAACATAGATTTTCAGAAGTTTTCCACTGCACATTGAAGAATTGTATAAAAGTTTACAATTGTCTTCCATTCTCAATTATTCATTTTCATACGCACACAACTGTAAAATGTAAAAATATTATATGTAGTTATATTTAAATTGGAGTATTATAACATCAATGACACAATACATTTGAAAATACTTCAATATCAAATTAATTTTGAAATGCATGACTTGTCATCTGCAAATGATTACGAACAGATGTGCATTTACAACCAAAATACGTTTAATTATATATATATATATTAGCATTATTATTTTTTTGGTTTTCCTTTATTAACTTTTCCCTTTGTGAACAGAACAAATATATTATAAACGAATCATTATTTTATTTTATAGAACACTGAATATAAATATGCTATTATTTAGTAAATGTATACAATTACATATTGTTTTCATGATAATTTTTAGACTTTTCGACTATAAAATTAAAAACCAATAGATTTCCAACAAATAATTTTACTATGAGTTGGTTGAATATTTTGGACAGTATTAACTAGGACTTATTTATATATTTAACTTCATAGTACCGTATATTAAATGCCGTAGTAATAAAATATTGGAAATAATGTAAATGGATGCAATTGATATAAATTAGTCAAATGTCAAATTTTTTAAAGCCAAGTTTCACTAACTCGCTCTTCGCTATTGCTCGTTAACTACTAAACGTATGAACTTGAAATATATTACCTCTAATAATTTAGATGTGCAATAAGAAGAGATTTTTTGAAAATCACGCTATGTAAATGAATATATGGCACAGTATAATTCAATAAAAAATAATAATATTCGAATTTACAAGTATTTTACGATTTTTTCAATCTAAAATTTTTAGGCTAGATATTTGTGTATTTTTTTTTAATCTAAAATATTAAAAATCTTCCGAGCGGATCCCTGTTAATATTAAATAAATACTAGTGAATTGAATCAAACTTTTATACTTGATAGCTTGTAATATTGAATACAAATAGTACTATTTTACTTCCTCAATTTATAATGTAACCAGACTACCTCTATTTTATCGTCTTTGTTTTGTATTGTTAAATGATTACACTAAAAATATAAATTTATATATAAATTAATAGCCTATTTTATATTAGCCATTGTTATGATGTTTGTTGGAAATTATATACTAGTTTGATATATTTATAATTTCTATGTACTTCAACTAATTATATATAAACACGATTCAGATACATGACTTGCATGCCAATACTTTAAACTAAATATTTTTACAGATTAACGGTTGTTAATTTTATTGGTGATACATGTATTACTTTATTATAATATATATCACATAAAGAATATTTGATATGATTCGTGAATACAATGTTTATTTTTAGTTAAAACTTAATAAATCTTTCCTTTGTTATATCATGGAATGGTAATTCAAAACATTTCCAATTGTATTTTATTTTACAGTCACTTGTTGCATTTTCATTGGAGAACAATATTTCTTTTCAATTTTAATATAGGAATTACGTTAAACACATTACAATACAGATAAGTAGGTACAGTAGTAAATCTGGATATGGTTCAACCACAAGATATTGAAAATTCTTACCTTATAGGTCATGATGAACCTTAACCTGGGGTGAAATCGTATTTTATTAAATTTAAGGACAATAGTAAGATGATCATACTCATATAATTTTTAAGAAAGCTCGATATTTATAATTTCGCTCATCCGCTCAGTCGGACTTTTTTTTAAAACTACATGTTCCTAAAATAAAATCTTCTGAAGACACTGAAGATTTCAAAAATAAATTGCATATTATTTCAATGAATTAAATAATATCTAATACATAAAAATCTGCAACTACCTAAAATACAAAAATTATTAATATAGATATCAAAATACATATCAAATAGAAATAAATCGTGAAACAAAATATGAAAACTTTACATATACGCACTGAATTTTTGTAGAAATATAAAATTCGGTATAAATATATGAATTATTCAATAAAGTATAATTAAAATAAAGTATTATTCACTGCAGAGATAACAGAAAACTAATTTTGTACTTGTATGTTATAGCTTCAATAGTCTCAAAATATGTGTCCCAATTATATAATATAATAATTGTATTATATAATTGGGACACATATTGTAATAATAATTACAATATTATATAATTATTATATAATATTGTAATTATTATTATCCAAGTGATCTTGATTTTAGACACAATGAAAATAATAATTTTAAAATCCTGTACCGTCGAATCAAATACAATATTTTGAAGACCCGATTAAAAAGTATTTTTTACTAGAAATGGGAGAAAAAATGCTTTCGTTGATTTAGAAAATATTTATTTAAGTATAAATTTTAACGAATCCTATTTTTTCATTATTGTGTATTTTTCTTTTTATTTCTTTATATGAATAATTTGTTGCTTATTCATGTAATACGAAAACAATAATATACAAACATTGAGTTATTTTATTTTATTTTTTTCGTTTAGACGCCAGTAACGGTAACTGACAAAGATGAAACGGTAGTAACGACAAGTATTCTACATTTTAAGCTCCAAGAACCAACATCTGTAGTCATAGATGCAAATGACGATAACGAATCAACCTTAGTCTGCCGAGCATACAATCCAGCCATCAAGACAATTGATCATCATTACATTGAAACCAAAATCACATTGGACGTACATTGTAAGTTCATAACCAAATATTTTTGCACGGCCCTAACCTTGTATTTCATTTTACATTTATTCAAACGATGATAAAAAAAGCAATCTAAAAATTATTTTCAATGCAACAAAAACACGAAAATATAGTTTCTTTTCGACACATCAATACACACATATAAACACTCGTAAATATTTTCGTTTTATATCCTTACTTCATTGGCTTCTTTTTTGAGATAGCTTCTACTTACATTAAGTAATTGTAATAAAATAAATTAGATTCATGCTACTTATACAGCTTAGATTAGATATTCTATTATATTTTGCTTTACAAGGAAGTGTAGAATCTAGAGCAGTAATTATATTTTAAATTCTTAATTTCTTACTGCCTGTGTTGGTAACATTTCTTCATGAATTTTTTTCTATGATTTCTCAGGAAACAACAGTTTAATTTGAGAAATAAAAAACAACAGATCTTACTTTATATAATGTTATTTTAACATAAAAGGGAATCACACATGAAGATAAGTTTGCATTTTTTCTCGGTGGTACGACGTGGAGTGCACTATTGGCATGTACTGGGGTTACTTATAATATTTTCATACAGATTCTTTAGTAAGACCTATCAAATTACAACATGTGATGAGTTATGATTATCTGATATATGATATTCATATCAAAATAATATATATGCTAATGTATAACCGATAATACTATAATAATATTATATAATAAGATATATAATATTATACAATTAGTGACTATTAAGTGATTATGGTTTGCTTGTAATGTACAATAATTGAATAATATTAATTAGAATGATTATAGATTATATTAATTATTTAAATTATATTATATACATATATGATTAATGAATAACTAAATTATTTTATTTTTATTACTAATGTATAGCTAAAATGTATTATAGGTATCATTCATTGTAATACATATTATATTAAATATTTAAAAATATTAGTATATGTACGCTTTAAGCGTGTTATAAATAATAGATATTATAAATTAAATGAACGATTGAGTCGACATGATTTCCTAATCGTTTCTCTTGGGTTTATTATATTACATTCATTTTTTTCGACAAATATAGAAGTATTATATTGTTTACGTTTAGCGAATATTTTCGATTTTTTTTTTATTTCGGTTGCAAGCAATGGTTACCAATATTCTTACGATATTGGATTTACTCATACGTTGCGATTAGTGACAATATCTCAAGTATAGTTGAATACCATAAATTCAGATATATTTTCTATTCTCTTTGGAACCCACAATGAAGGGAGAACGGTTTCCCAATCTTCTCCTGCATATACTTTCTATTCATCATTGAGTAATCATTAAGTTTTCCATTTTATTCGAATTTCATCTAGTTAAATATCGAATTCATAATTCAATAAATCCTATTAAATGTGTTGTTAGTTGTTTATATTTTACTTCGGTGAAATTATACTCCCTATTTGGACGAGAACCAAAGTGCATTACAATGTATAATATTTTACATTATAGTAGTATTTTTTATTGTTCAATAGTCGATTTTTAAATGTTTTTTTTTTCTTTTGTTGTCTAATATTATTTATTGTTGATCGCTTTTTACAAGTATCGTTAGTCACTGTCGTCGACGACCGTGTTTAAAAGATTTGTTTAAAGGAAAAATTATGTTGGTAATTATAATAAAAATCTATGTAGATGACGTAGAGTAACATGTACACATATCACACCTATACTTATACCTATATAAAATTATTTGTACGTCCTTTCTGTTTCGGATGAAACTGGTACAATTGATTCCGATTTAATCTCGTGTATAAACAATTATAAGACTAAATCTTTATTACCATGTTTATTATTTATTAAAATATATTATAGTTTGATTGTGCAAAAGAATACGTTCTCAGTGAATAATATTGGCCTTTTGCTATTATCGACTTAACAATTCAAATTTATACTACAAGACCATAAATACATGTCTATAACCTACATATTTTTCTTACAAATATATAAATATAAATGTATTTTATTTGTGTTATTTCAAGACCCTCCCATAGTTCATTTACAATTTGGCAATCGTATGTTGGACACGGGAAGCATAGGTCCTGGAGAAGACGTGTATTTCGAATGCGCGGCCCGAGCCAATCCATCAAGTACCATCCGTTACAGTTGGTACCATAACGTGAGTAATCGATTTTACTAGTATTTATTTGAATTGCAATTCCTAAAACTGTATACTTAGGTGATAAAATATTGATGTATTTTACTTATATTTTTAGATTCTATTTAACAAAACCTTTTTATTTTATACGCCATAACGGAAATTCTTTAGACTTATATTAATATGTAATTAACTCTGCGTAAGTTTCGCGCCAGGTTCTCATTCTAATGTATCAGAACCATTGTTATTCTGAAACTTGATATTTTGGGTGTTATAGTTGTACCACTCATATTTTGTAATAACAATACGTAATAACCAATGTCCATTAAGTATATTGTATTTACTGAGTAATCTATATTTTTCATGAAGAATAAAAACATTATAAACTTTCAAAGCTTAGAAAATAGACAAACAGAATGAAAAGACAAATAATTAAATTTTAGTTAATTTTTATAAAATAGTTTAATTAATTTTCAACTTATTCCAACATTTCTAACTTTAATTTAAAATAGAAAAAAAAGTGTATTATTTTATCATTATATTCCATTTACAGCGATTGTATTATGTATCTAGGCTTAACTATGGAGATAGTTAGGAAGCCGTCCTTAAGATTTACAAAGCCTAAGACGAAAACACTTGTAATATTTTTTAGCTATTATATCTACTCTAAACCATATGAGGACATTAATAAGTTTTGTCACTCAAAACATTTTGTCAGTACCTCACTAATTACAATAGAAAAAAGGTTTTTTTTTATAAAATATAACTAGGTGAAGAAAATAATTTTATAGAAAACATAAAACATTTTTTTTTTTTTTATTAACTTATATATAATTCATTAATCGTCATTTATTGATATTTATACGAATTTAATTTAACGTAATAAAATATAAATTAACTGAAAAATACTAAAAAATACAATAAAAAAAAAAATTTCATATTCATCACTATCGTTATAACTGGATTGAACTTATACTTTTTCAGAATTAATATCGTCATTATCACTCAATTGGAAATTTGCATTTATTTAACTTAACATTTTACCACTTTCGGTACCATTCTAGAATTTTTTTTTTTAAATGTGACTAAAAAGTTTTTTGGACGTTAATATTGATGTTCATTAGAAATATTAAGTTTTTGTTTTTCAGTACCACTTTTAAATTTTTAATATTATCATGTAATCGATCAATCACTATAATATTATTAACCACACCTGATGTTAACAGCCAACGAACACACTCTAAAAACTAGTGATGACATAAAATAGCATTAGCAATGATTTTTTCACATTAATTTCAAAGTAGTAGACACAAATTGCTAGTCAGATACTGAGAGTGATTGTTATTTTATGTTTATCATATATATATATATATGTATATAAGGTTCATTATAAATATGATATTGTAGAAACAATCACTGTTATAATGCTATTTTATTGTTCGATAATTAACAATATCATACTGTGATATTAGTATAATACATGAGTTGCGAATACGATAATGTTATTAATAGATATTTCAGTAGTTATACATTTGACCTGCTTCGTTATTTTAATATTATTTTTGATATATTCTAATTTTATATAACACACAATTTAAATGCTACGAAAATAAAACAAAGTTTAAAACCAAATTTACTACTTTTTTTTCAAACGTGAGGCCCCAAATTGAAGCGAAAATTGCGAATCCCAGGGTCTAGGCAACTCCCTCATCCCTTAAGGACCACCCTAGGGGTAGTAGAGAGATTATATAATAATTTTATCATTTCTTAAATGACTAGTCAACCCCGAGAAAATATAATATATAATTAAAAAATTAAACGTAGAACATCAGTTGTTGAGCTGCGGACGATACCTATATTGTTTTATTTATTATGATATATACTATTTGCGAAATTTGAAAATACTTCATACAGGCTATACCACTCTCTCTCTTTCTCTCTCTCTCGATGTAGACATATATGTGAGTCGCTTTCATGTAGTTAAACTGTTCATTTCATGATATAGAACCGTATTTTTATACTTCGTGAATAATTAAAAAAATAAATGTTGTAAATATTTTTCATAAAATAGACACAACAATTTCGTATTGTGTAATTTACTTTTTCACCATTAGGCCTTTTTGCCCTTCCATTTTGTGAAATAAATGTATTCTCTTTAGAAAAAAAAAAAATTATAAATTTATATTATTTTATTATTTTTTACTCTTTAATAAACATATATTTCAATAATCATTTTTTCTTTTTCAATTTTGTAAAATCGTGATCAATTATGTATTGTATATTTTATTCTTATACGATCAACAGTGTATAAATATTATAAAATTAAGCCCATAAATTATTTTTATGACTTTCGAGTCATTTTTTTTTCTTGACTACAAAAAAAAAATTTATGATAAATCTTGTATCCAATTTTCCAGCTTTAAATAAAAAAATTATATGGATATTTGTTTACTAAAATGAAGTTGATTGTCATAATTTGTATAGTTTTATCAAATTTAATATACAAACATTCATACAATTTTTTTCAAACTTAACTCAATATTTCTTTATCAGTAATATATATAAGTAGCATTTTATTAAATTTTCAAGACTTTCTGTGAAATCATAATTCTTTTATCGATATATTTAAAAGAACTAAGAAAACATGATATGAAAATAGCTTATAACAGTCTTTTGAAAATCATACTATAAATAGCAAACAGTAATAAAAACATTTTAAATTTGTATACCATAAACACTGCTTTTTTTGTACCTTTTGTGTAGTTTTTGCAAATTCTTAAGAAAAGTATTGGGAAATTCATAAAATAACCCACCTTCGAATTACCAACTAATCGTAGACAATATTCCCTATCAAAAATTTCTTTTGATGAATCATAAATACGAAAAAAGACACATCATGGTAAAACAAATACATTCCACGTTTCATTCAGAATTTTAAAATCTAAACTTAACAATATATTCAAATAAATTACTATTAGTAAGTTAATTAAATATCGAAAGAGCGTTTTCTTTAATATTGAACATAGAGAAAGTATTATAAATTAAAATAATTAAAAATATATATAAGGTGTTTTTGGAATGGATGAGGACACAAGTATACGCGTACTCGCTGTGATGACCCAAAGTAGATTTTTTTGAAATTATTTTTCAATCTCCAAAATCTTAGTTTATTCAATTTATTATTAGGACATTACCTTAAATGTAAAAATAAACACTTTAGTTGTATTTTTTGCAAAATTCTCATACGAATCGAGACGTTACACTGTTTTTGGGCTATCACGCGTTTTTCACGTTCGAGTCACCGACTAAAAGAAAAGTCGTGTGACACATCGATTCATATGAGAACACTTTAAGATAAACAGTGGTGATAGTAGTTTGTTGTTTATCCAGCGGTGTCCATAGATTGCTCGGTTTTCGATTAATACAACCGTTTCGTAAGTGTTTGCTAACCGGAAAAACATACCGACAATTAAAAAAATCGGTTCGTAATTATAATAATAATATTCGCTATGATGAAACACCAATAGAATCATAAGCATAACCGTTGCGTAAGTTCACATAAACCAGTGGTGCCCAACCCGCGGCCCGCGGGCCACATGTGATCCGCAAAGATATTATATGTGGCCCGTTACGAATTTTCTAAAATAAAAAAAAAAAAAATTAAATGTATGAACATTTTTTGATTCATAATGTTGTTTGATATTAAATTTTTTAAAAACTGAAACCGTTTCACGACACACAAGACAAACGGCTTTTCCATTAATTTCAATGAAAAAGTAATTTATAGACCATTAAAAATTGGGCAATCATCAATATATTTACGTTTTTTTTCTATCTGCCATTTTCATACGCAAACTTTACAATTAAATATCGATATCACCCGTGTACTTAAAATAATGTAATGATAAAACTAATGTGTACCTACGATGTGTACCTCAATTCATAATCTTTTCAATAGACAATAAAAGATAAAAAAACAAGTCCAATATATAAGATTATTTTTGTACTTTTATACTTTGTGGCCCGCTTGAAGATAATTGTTTACCAAAGTGGCCCGCCAAACGAAAAAGGTTGGACATCACTGACATAAACGGTAAATGTTCGCGAGCACACGTTATATTTACAAAAACGCTGCGCGCACCGATAGAGGAGTGATAATTTACGATAATAATGTTGTTGTTTTATTATTATTCTCGCATAAGGGACCGTGCGCGGTAGAACTATTATTAATAGCGAACGTTGTAAAATACGGTTGGAAAAATGATTTAAAGGACGAGAAGAGACACGCATGTCCTCGTGCGCAGCGTTAGTTTTATATTTTCTGTTCACGGATGGAATGGTGTACGCATACGTTGCCAGTCGGTAGATTTATACGCCGTAACGGCAACAGTAATTTTGTCGTTGGCGCTCACCTTCACCACACGCACCGACAATAATTCTCGGGCGCAGGCCAATGGTGACGGAAAGAGGTTCGTTTACAGGGATGAAAAACCTAACGGCCACGGGACGCACGACCGAGTACGCGTGTACGCCGTTGCGTGCACTAACCGTGCACTCGCCGGGGGCGGATTTGCAGTAGGTCAGACTGTTTTTCGGCAGCCGACCTTATTCAGGATGTAACTGGATTACAAACGCGTGTACCTTTTAATAGAAAAACACAATGTGATAATATGTTATGTGTTTTTAGGCTTATCGTTCATCATTATTAGGACTCGGATTTACATGGAAATATGTATTTTCACTGTGACTTGATAAATTAATTTAGTGATAAATTCGTTTCAAGAGATTTCCGATGAAATTAACTATATTTTACTTTACACATTTTTGCATATTTCTCAATAATTCCAGTTTTTCTTACATATTTCGATCATTTGTCCATTTACGATTTATTAATAATTCAAAATAGACAATTTCCCGTGTTTTTAAAAGTAATTAAAAAAAATCAAAGTATGTTAAATATTTCGATATTTCAATATAATTGACTAGAAAAATGACTTTAGTTTAAAGTTTGAGACTTGTAG